ATAATATATATATATATATATATATATATATATATATATATATATATATATATATATATATATATATATATATATTTAAACACTTCATGGTAAGTTTTTACCGGATAGGGTCAAAGTGTTATTGACGGCTTATTAGGGAAGGATAGGCAAGGAAGAAAAAACATAGGAGGAAAGGGGAGTGCATAAACTTTATTTAAATCAATACACTTAAGGGTCGTTTGGTAGGGTGCATGAGATAGTGCTGAATATAGTGTATTAGTAATGTTGGTATTAGTTATGCTTGCATTAGTTATGTTGACATTAATTTTGCTGACATATTTCTTATCCATTATTTGATTTGATGTATTAAAGTATTGTATAATTTCTAAAAGAATTGTTTGTTTACAAAAATGCCCTCAAAACCGGTCCATCACTCTATCTTTTTAAAAGAAACATATGTCGGGAAATATTTTTATATGAAAAAGTTTTTAAAAAAATTATTTGATTTGTCTACCTATATTGTAGTATAGAACTAAATATTTATTTATAAAAAAGAAAATATGCTAAGTATTTATTTATTTAGTAGGGATATAATTTTATTTCTCACTATTTGGATTATTTTAAACTTGTATTAATATAATAACATATCCTAATCAAGCATAAATTGTGAAGGACACTTTTGTCTTTAACTAATCTAATGCATGCATTAAAACCAATTGCATCCATAATACTATGATTTTCTATGCATAGTTATGCATAAGATAATACCAAATAAAGTGTATAACTAATGCTTGCATAACTAATGCATATGTTCAAAAAGTGTACCAAACAAGGTATTATTAATACACAAAGCTAATGCATACATTATTTTATCTAATACATCCTACCAAATGACCCCTTAAATTTAACTAACACATCCGTGCCTTGTAAAATTGGTATACTACAATGGATGTATACAGAGACTTTAATTAGCAAAAGGAATATATTGGGGGATCGGGGTTGCACGCCATAACGGATTATATTTTAAGTTTGTATTGTTAGAGCGGGTTGCACGCCGCAATAAAAATTTATTGAAGAATTATATTATTGGAACGGGTTGCACGCCGCAACGAAAATGAGAAAAGAAATAATTGATTGTGACTGCTGAAATGATTTCGATTATTGACATGATATACATGTCTTACCTTTATTCTTGTTATTCTTATTATTATCGCGTACAGGTTAATGTAAGCGACCTGACATAGCCTCGTCACTACTTCGTCGAGGTTAGGCTCGGCACTTATAGAGTACATAGGGTCGGTTGTGCTCATACTATACTCTGCACTTCTTATGCAGATTCCGGAGTTGGTCCCAACGGCATACTGTAGATTTTGCTCGGATTCAGCTATCAGTGGAGACTTAAGGTATAGCTGCACGGCGTTCGTAGCTCTGAAGTCCCCTTCTACTTTATCTTAGCTGTGTGCTTTCTTTCAGACAGCTTTATTTTATTCAGACCCTTGTTTGTATTATTCTAGAAGCTCGTGCACTTGTGACTCCAGTTCTGGGATGGTATTTAGACATCATATTTATTTTGGTTTGTTCACTTTAATTCAGATAGTTTTCTCCAGTTGTTTGGTTTCTTTACTAATTAATTAAAATGAATTATTAAAATGGTTTAAATTATTCTAATATTGGCTTGCCTAGCAAGTAAAATGTTAGGCGCCATCTCGGTCCCGATGGTGGGAATTTCGGGTCATGACAAGTTGGTATCAGAGCATTAGGTTACTTAGGTCTCACGAGTCACGAGCAAGCTTAATAGAGTCTGAAGGATCGGTACGGAGACATCTGTACTTATCTTTCAGAGGCTATAAAGTTTAGGAACAATATCACTTCTTTCGTATTCTGTCGTGCGATTTTATTTTATCATCGATGATTGAACCATTCTATTCTTATTCTCTCGTAGATGATGAGAACACGTAATACATCTACCGACGGACAGGGACTGGAGTCCCCAGTGGCAACTATGACCAGGGGCAGAGGTCGAGGCCGAGGTCGCGCTAGAGGCCGAGGCAGAGGCCGAGGCAGAGGTAGAGCTCAGTCTAGAGATCAAGCAACAACACCTGTTGTAGAACCTCAGGTGGATCTTCAGGAATGATAAATAATGTTTTTCGAGATCATAGAACACAGAATTAATTATTAAATTTAAAAATGACTTTTTGGGTCATCACACTCCCTTGCATCATCTTTGATGACCTCACTTATATATTACCAACATGTGGCAAGGAATTATACACACTTGCAAACCCTAAAACACATTTTACTCTCAAGTGTGCAGCCGCCTTCATTTACTCCGAGGCATTGAAAAACAAAACAGCAATATAACGAAGGACCGGATTCCAACATTGAATACATCGTGTGTCCTTAGTATTTTTGTGTCTTTGTTTATGGTATTCACTTGTAACTCCTACTCAGCTTATTAAGAAGCATCCCGTAGGACACTTTTATAAACCATAAAACTTGTGTTTGTGTTTGACTAGAGTTAGCCAAAGTGGTTAGCTTTGTAATAGAGTTATTACAAAGAGGCTTGCAATATAGTTATTGTAAGCATGTGAGGGATTAAGAGTTTAATTCCTAGGTTACAATAGGTTGTAATCTTAAGTTGCTCGGTTTAGTGAAGTTAAAATCCTACGAGTGTAGATCGTGATTTTTAATCCCGTGAGCTGGGAGTTTTTCACATAAATATTGTTGTGTTATTTACTTACCGGTGTGTGTTTTGTGGGAACTAATAGAGAACAAGTTTCTATATACAGTTTGGTAGACTCTTAGTTTACATCAATTGGTATCAAAGCAGGTTCTTTCTATAAGGCTAACACCTAGAAATGATTTACATGGCTGTTCCACCAAATTTTGAAGAAGGTCAATCAATTTATAGACCACCGAGATTCAATGGACAATACTATGGCTGGTGGAAGACAAGAATGCATGATTTTATCATCACTGAAGATTCAGAGCTTTGGGATGTCATCTGTGATGGACCATTCGTCCCTATGAAGACTATTGCCCAGACAACAGTCACAGTCCGTAAGACAAGGAAGGAGTATAATGATGCCGATCGTAAAGCCATTGAGAAAAACTTTCGAGCAAAGAAGATATTCATCTGTGGTATTGGACCAGACGAGTACAACCGAATCTCTGCTTGTCAATCTGCAAAGGAGATCTGGGAGGCTCTCCAAACTGCACATGAAGGTACCACTCAAGTCAAGCACTCAGAAATCGACATGCTCACTACTGAGTATGAACTCTTCAAGATGAAGGAGGATGAGTTCATTCAGGACATGCATACTCGCTTTACTTCCATCATCAATGAGCTTCATTCTCTAGGAGAGATTATCCCAAGGAACAAACTAGTTAGAAAAATACTCACTGTATTACCTGGTTCCTACGAGAGCAAAGTCAATGCTATCATGGAAAAAAAATATCTGCAAAAGCTGACGATTGATGAACTCATTGGAAATCTGAAGACTTACAAAATGAAGAAGAAGTAAGATCATGAAATAAGAGAACCCAAAAAAGAGAAGAACCTGGTTCTCAAGGCAGACAACAGTGACTCAAGTGGTGATGATGCTGACGTGGCCAATCTTACACGGAGATTTCATAAAATAGTTCGCAGAAATAGAGGCATTCCTAAGAAAGGCAGCTCTACCAGAAACACAAAAGGCTATGATTGTTGTCACAAATGCGGGAAGCCATGACATTTCATCAAAGATTGTCCTCTCCACAAGCAGGACCATTAGAATCACAACACAAATAAGACGGCTAAGAGGAACTTGGTCCCCGACAGGAAATTCAAGAGAAGAGATGCTGCTGATAATGTTCTCAAAAAAGCTCTTGCTGCATGGGGAGATTCCTCTAGTGAATCTGAGGATGATGATGAACAAGGTGACACGTCCATGATGGCCGCTGAAAGCGAAGCAGCAGAATATGACTCCACATTTGCCTTGATGGCAAAATCTGATGAGGATGAAGATGATGATGATGATGACAATGAGGTAAACTTTCTAGATGTTCAAATAAATTTGAAGTCTTATTCTCAAAAGAAGTTGTTATCTTTAACTAATGTCTTAATTGATGCTTATCACAATCTCATTAATGATAAAAATGCTTTAACTGAGGAAATAGGAGAAATAGAACATGAGAGAGATGATTTACTGGTCGTGGTTCTTGATTTGAAAGAAACAATGGAGGAGTTAAAGAAAGAAAAATATGTTCTAACTAAGAGAATTGGAGATATAGAACATGAGAGAGATGACTTGCTGGTAGTAGTCGTGGATCTAAAGGAGTTAGTAGAGGAGTTAAAAAGGGAAAATAATTCTGTAAAAACTTCAATGGAAAATTGTATTAACTCTTCAAAAGGAAAGGAAGTGGCGAGTGAGGCACACCTTAAGCTGTAAAATGAACTCAAAAAGGCAAAATTGAGTCTTTATGCTGAACTTGAAAGAAGTAGACAACTTTAGAAAGATCTAAGCAGAGTTAAAAATGGCCTAGATAAATCTCTAAAGTGGACCTGGTCTTATGACACAATCACTTCCATGTAGAAAAGTAATAGGGGGAACAAGCATGGAATCAGGTTCCAAAAGGAAAAGGCTCCCTACAACCCACATAGAAAGTATGTTATTGTGCCTGATAATTGGCTCTGCACCCATTGTGGTAATACTGATCATTTCAAAGATTCTTGTAGATCAAGGTTTCAGTCCCAAAAGAAAAATAAAATTTTTGTTGAAAAAGTATCTACTGTTAAGGAACCTGGTTCTCTTAAAGAGAATTATGTGATGCCTGCCTGGACAAAAAGAAGTTTAACTTGTCCCTTTCCTAATTATAAGGGATCCAAACTTGTTTGGGTTCCTAAGTTTAATCTCTGATTTTTTTGTGCAGACAGCAGTGAAAGAAAGCAGCCAAAGATGGTACATGGATAGTGGATGCTCTAAACATATGACTGAAAGTACTGATGATTTCCTTTCACTCAAATCCCTGCAGGGTGGGAGTGTGTCCTTTGGAAATGGCAAAAAGGGATACATTCTGGGAATTGGAAAAGTTGGGAAGATACTCACTTATTCTATTGAAAATGCGTATTATGTGAATGCCTTGAAATACAACTTTCTGAGTGTCTCTCAAATCCGCGACAAATGAAACAAAGTGGAGTTCTTATCAAAATCTTGCGCTATCACCAATCTTGTAACTGGTGGCAAAAAGATTTAAAAACATCTATGTTGCAGACTTTGAGTCTCTGAACAGTGGCGATCTTATATGTTTGAGTGTTGTTGGTGTTGATGCTGAACTGTGGCACAGAAGATTGGGACATGCAAGCTTCTCTCTGTTGAACAAGATAATCAAAAAGGACTTGATTCGTGGGCTGCCGAAGTCAAAGTTTAAAGATTACAAGGTATGTGATGCATGTGTGAAAGAGAAGCAAGCCAGGTCCTCATTCAAGCCAAAGAAGGAAGTAAGCACGTCAAGGCCACTGGATCTTCTCTATATACATCTGTGTAGACCTATAAGGATGCCCAGCAGAGGAGGAAAGAAGTATATCTTCGGTATGGTTGATGACTATTCTAGATTCACATGAACCTTGTTCTTCATAATCAAGGATGAAACCTTTCCAGTCTTTGCTGCATTTGTGAAGCAGATTCAAGTGAAAATGAGCCATAATGTTGTGAGCATAAGATCTGATCATGGTACCGAGTTTGACAATGCAAAATTTGATGAATTCTATGCTGAAAATGGTATAAGTCATAATTTTTTGACTCCCAAAACACCCCAAAAAAATCGTGTTGTGGAGAGGAAAATTAGGACTCTTGAAGATATAGTAATTGACAGTGGCATACCAAAGAGCTTTTAGGGTGAGGTAGTGAACACTGCCTGCTATCTGATAAATAGGTGCATGATCAGGTCCCTCCTAAACAAGACCCCATATGAATTGGTAAATGGGAGAAAACCAAAGCTGACTTACCTAAGAGCATTTAGTTGCAAATATTTTGTTCTCAATAATGGTAAGGAAGCTTTGGAAAAATTTAATGCTAAAATTGATGAAGGAATTTTTCGTGGCTATTCTTCACAAAGTAAAGCATACAAGGTCTACAACAAAAGGACTCAATGTGTACAGGAAAGCGTATATGTAATCTTTGATGAATCACACCCCTCAAGTGGGAAGGATTCACATGATAATAATGATCAATATAGAGTTTATTCAAAGGTCCCTGGAGAGATCATTGATATGGAAAATGGGAAGGCAGATCTGATGAGTCAGGTCAAGGAGTCTAGTAAAGAAGATGCAGCAGAACCTCCAACTGATTCGGAGGAACTTGGTCCCTCCATCATAGCAACTAAAGTTGAAAATAGAGTTGTTGATGATGTGCTAGGCACCCCTAATACAGAGCAGAGAAGTGGTACTCACACTTCCATGGATGCCAATGATGGGTCTCACATAGCGGAACCTGGTCCCTCACACACTGAGACTCATGTGTCTAACTGGAAGCACAAAAGTTCACATTCTCTCCACAATGTAATTACTCCTATAGATTCAGGAATTCAGACTAGATCAAAGACAAGAACCATGTTTGCTTTCTCGGCTTTACTGTCTCAAATTGAGCCGAAAAATATCAAGGATGCACTGAAAGATACTGACTGGATTGCATCTATGCAAGAAGAGCTCCATCAATTTGAGAGGAACAGTGTGTGGCACCTTCGACCTTCAGATAGAACAGTTATTGGAACTAGGTGGGTGTTCAGAAACAAGCTTGACGAGTTTGGAAATACAACAAGAAATAAAGCTAGGCTGGTGGTTCAAGGCTATAATCAAGAGGAAGGAATTGATTATGATGAAACTTTTGCTCCTGTTGCAAGAATGGAATCCATCAGAATTCTGATTGCTTTTGCATCTCATATGGCATTCAAATTGTTCCAAATGGATGTTAAGAGTGCATTTATGAATGGATATTTGAAGGAAGAAGTTTTTGTCAAATAACCACCTGGTTTTGAATGCCATGAGCATCCTGAATATGTCTTCAAGCTTGACAATGCCTTATATGGATTAAAGCAGGCCCCTCGTGCATGGTATGAAAGGTTGTCCAGGTTCCTTCTGGAGAATGGTTTCACTAGAGAAAAAATTGACAACACTTTTTTTCTGAAGAAAATAGGGAGGAACCTGCTAATTCTGCAAGTGTATGTTGATGACATCATCTTTGGTGCAACAAATGATTTTTTGTGTGAGGAGTTTGCCAAGCTTATGGGAAGCGAGTTTGAGAAGAGTATGATGGGGGAACTGAATTTTTTCCTAGGACTGCAAGTTAAGCAAACCTCTAAGGGAACGATGATAACTCAACATAAGTACATTAAGGAGATTCTGAAGAGGTTTGATATGGAAAGTTCAAAGAATACTAATACGCCCATTGCTACTACCACTCGTCTAGACATGGACGAACCTGGTTCCTCTGTAAATGAAACCATGTATCCCGATATCATTGGTTCTTTTGTGTACCTAACAGCCAGCAGACCTGTCATTGTGTTTAATGTTGGGTTGTGTGCTAGATTCCAATCAAGTCCTAAGGAATCTCACTTGAAAGCTACTAAAAGAATTCTGAGATATCTCAAAGGAACGCAGGACCTTGTCCTCTATTATCCCCCAAGAGAAAATTTTGACTTAATTGGGTATACTGATGCGGATTATGCTGGTTATCTGGTGAATAGGAAAAGCACATCTGGCATGGCAAATTTTATGGGATCATGCTTGATTTCATGGGGTACAAAGAAATAAAATTTTGTGGCCCTCTCCACTACAGAAGCTGAATATGTAACATCTGGCTCATGTTGTGCTCAACTACTATGGATCAAGCAATAATTAGAAGAATTTGATATTCTCTGACTGTGTGCCACTGCTGTGTGACAACACAAGTGCCCTCAATATGGCAAAGAACCCGGTTCAGCATAAGAGGACAAAACATATTGATGTGCGACACCATTTCCTGAGGGACAATGTTGAAAAGGGTCTTATCTATATGAAGTTCTGCAAAATAGAGGACCAGGTAGCCGATATCTTCACCAAAGCACTGAGCAGAGAGCATTTTGAAAAGAATCAACTGGAGCTGGGATTGATCAAATTAAATTGAGAACCTGGTCCTTTGATGACTGGCTATGGAAGAATGGTAAGGTGAATTGCTAAAAAGTATTTTCTGACAACTTCTAACTCATTTCTATACCGTTACAGGCAAACACGCATGGCAATTACAGGACAATCAAGCAGCTAATGACATTGCAATTTGTTAGAAGGATGATGCTCATATTTGCAAAATTAGTCAGGGAACATGGTTCCCATGACTCAGGTTAGTAGTTCCTCTTACACTCATACGCATTTTAAACTGCTAGTGTGCCACGTCATTAATTGTTTCCACCCTTTCCCATATCTTTTAAACCCAAACGTCACACCCGTTAAAAATCATCTCGTCTACCCATTCCATCACGTCCATTTGTAACCGATCACTCATTTCCCTCTAAATAACCCCAAAAGACAAGTCTCCCTCATAACTGTCTATAACAAAGCCATCAAAATCTCCTTTTCTCTCTGAAAACCCTCTCTTATGTGTCTTCACTCTCAAAATTCACCATGTCTTCACATTATTCTGAGTCTCCAAAGGCCACCTATGAAATCTCTGTTGTGTGTTCGTCCCATGAAGCACAACCTTCAGGATTGGAGCCCCAACTTTCACCTACTAAAACCCCCATTTTTAACCAACCACCATCCACTGTCTTCCCCACTCCATCGAGTTCTGGTTCCCATCGTAGCCGGAAAAATTAAACTCCTAAGAAGTTTGTTGCTTCGATCTCCCCTTCTGCTACAACAGAAAAAATGGAAGTAGAAGGACAGGTGGAAGGAGAAAAAGGTATAGAGGTTTTGAGTCAGCGGGTTGAGGAACAAAGCGTGGACCAAGTGACTGTCACTGGTCTGGGTGGAGATGCATCAGCATCTGGTGTATCTGACATCTCCACTGTTCAAAGTTTTGATCTGAATGTTCTATCTTCATCAGGTAATGCTCCACTTGCTCTTACTGATTTTGCATTATTGGGAAATATGGGAGAGAAAGAAGCTATTGAAAATATGTTGTCTATTGCTGCTGAAGGGATTCCGGTTGGGGATTCTGTATCTGGTTGTGTGAGTGTTGGGTTCAGGGGGAAGAATGAGGGAATGTAAACTTGGTGCCTCAAGGTGACATGGCACCAGTCAGTACTACAAAGGAGCCAACAGAGGGACCTGGTCCCTCTGCCCAAGAAGAGTTCTCTGCTCCTACTTGGGATGAAACTTCATGCTCTACCAAACATCCCTTGGGCAATACTGACCCTCCTCCTTCCCCTCACCTTGATGCAACCCCTTTAGACTTTGTGTATCCTGAAATGAAGTCGGTGTCAGAAGAAGGAGATGGAAGTGAGGAGGACTATGACAATGTGTCTGTATCTCGTTTCATCGCCGCTATGAGTGGTGGGACAGCTTCTCAAAAGTCTGTTCTTAAAAAGACCCACCACTAGGTAGCAGAAAAAGGTTGCCCTTGACAATGCTTTAAAGGAGAATAAGGAGAAAAAGAAGAGAAGAAGACTGGTGAAAAGTAGATTAGTTGATGAGGAGGATGATGGTAGGCTAGAATCTCGTATTTTAGTCATAGTTTGCACTCTAATTACTGTATTTTACATGTGTTTGAGCATAAATGTTAGTGTATTGCACTTATTATGTGTTTTATGCATTGCAGGAAGTGATTTTGAGTTAAAAAGATAATCATGAGCTTAATCGAACAATTTGGAGCTTTGAAGTATGAGTAAAAGTCCAAGAAAGTAAATTGGGATCGCTTTCGGGGGTCGAGGATCGCGTCTGGATATCCAAAAGCGAAGAAATAATGATACGCTGTAAATAATGTATTGCCACGCCGCATGGGGTGGAGCATGAGGCGGCGTGGCGGTGTAATTTTGCTCTTGCCTATCAGAATCCGCTCACTGAACTTCCCCACTAGCGCCCCACATGGGGCGGCGCATGGTGCAGCACGCTGGTACAAAGTTCTTAGAGTATTTTTCCTATTTCGTCTTAGAAAGGGTAGTTTCACCCGGGCCCATTCCTACATGGTATAAATAAACCAAAAGATATTTTTGGAGGGACTTTTGACCTTGGAAGCTTTGGGAGAGCATTGGAGGCTACAAGACACATGATTTCATCATCTTTCTATCAATTCAATGCGAAAGTTTGGATTGAAACATTAGATTGATGTTACACCCCAATGTCGGGAAGCGCGACCGGCGCTCAACCGAGTGAACCCGGCCGAGCAAGCCTATTAGATACTTTCTACCCAACTCACCCATGATAAGAGAAGACATGTTTTTATTAGCTAAACAGTAGAAGGACCATATATATAGACATTACTAAACCATTTCATTTTGCTACTTCCCTGTTAAGTTTCAAATACTTACATTTTGTGATTTAGTGGAACAAAAATCTAAAATACAACATAATCCGTTTGACTTTCCTAGCACCCATATACAACCCACATAGTGTCTATGAAGCCTCTAAAGATACAAAAGAAAGTAAAGATGGTACCGGCAAAAAGGCTCCGGCTATACCTCAAAAAGTGATCACAATATAAGCAAAAGGTACAATACATGACCCCGGAATGAAATGGGGCTCACCGAGTCCGCTGGGAAGAGGATGCAACACTATCTATGATCAACACTATCTGCTATGTAACCACTTTTACCCATTTAAAGATGCAGCGCCGACGGTAAAAGGTCCCACACTAAAGATCATTCGTCCTCGAATGAGGATCAGGGTCTACTATTAGCACCTTATGCAACTTAGTTTTCATACCC